TGGATGGATGGATGGATGGATGGATGGATGGATGGATGGACACGCAGAAAAGAGCGACGTTAGCTTTAAATTGATGCAATATTCATTTCTGTCATATTACTATGCCCATGCGAATATCAAAACAGATGGTTCATCATGATGTGCTCGCGCTTGGCTTTTAACCTCGTCGTTTATCGGTCTATCAGTAGAGCTTATTTGCGAATTTTCGAAGCCTATTTGCATCTGTTTTGTAATGACGACTTCGGATCAGTAAAAACTATTTATCTTTTTCTCTCTTTTCTTGTAACTGATCTTTGAGTATACTGTGAGTGGAAAGAACCGAACAGGCTCTAACTGTTTTCAACTACAACAGGTTGGCCATTCACAAAAGCCTACAGACCGACCAATCTTAAGTGGCACCGGATACACAGATGAAACCGGTCGTTTTGGTGTTCACGTGGTGAAACTTGTTGCCTGTGGATTTCTGACTGGTAACACTTCTTGTTGTAAGCATTTGATGATTGCTCAGTGTATTTCCCCTCATCCCGCATCCTTTACATAATTTGACCGATTGTGCTACCCCGGCTATCGCAGAAATCGTGGGGAGGTGGAACGACAGTACTGATGGAATCCCATTTACTATAATACTTGTGTCGCAATACGCAACACCGGATAGAGCCCTAACCAAAACTGTACGAATTCGGTTTCCATGGCATTTGTCATATTGCAACACAAACGTTTTGATGACAGTGCATAACAATCTCCGGAACGGGAATCGCAAAAATCATTTTTCCAGGATCCGATTCGACCCGTTTGTGTATAATGCATACTATCTTTCATGTCCCTCTTCCCTTTTCTGGAACAGGGGGGGAATGGAATTGTCCCAGCTAAACGTACACGAGAAAGGATGAAAACCAATTGAAATAGGAATTTTTGAGTTATGCTACGGTCATCTTTCCCGCTAAGTTTTTAATAAACCATAAAAACGGATGGTACAAAACGCTCCATAAAACATGGAAGGATTATCATTATTATTAATCTTTCACATAGCACTCAACAGAAAATTGTTAGTCATGGAACTTTAAGGCCAGCTATACATTTCAGTTTCCCGCTCTGACCATCGAACCATGACAGCTGACAACCCAGTGTGAAACAAACCGGAAACAGTGGCCAGTGGGAGTGACTGCCCGAGACATGACACCAGGTGGAAACAGAATCATGCGGTCGGTTAACGTGAATACTGTGCTCCACGGGCGTGAACAACACAGGCTCGATCACCTGATTTGTTTTGCACGTGTGAAGGCAACAGCCCACCAGCACAGTCAACAACAAACAGACAGACACAGTTTGCTCTATCACATCAATCCATATATTCGACACAATAGCCACCGCAAAACAGCAACCGGTAATGCGTTCGCCATTGCTACCTTCAAGGTCATTTCTACAATAGGCTTGTCAGCATTTCCGCCTATTGACTCGTCTTTGTATGTGTCTCTGCGTACACATTCACAATCGCACATACATACTGACTGCGGGAGCGAAGTTCAACATCCGTCTGTCTGTCTCACCATCTTTTGTTCAACGTGCACCTCTAATAGCTTAGTCGGGGGCGCTCACACGCCTCGTGTCTGATTTAGCCCGATTTGTTAGGTCTTACCCCGGTTTCATTACTTCCGTCAGCGGCTCTGACTGGATATCGAACGCGGGCGAACATTAGCGGGTGAGTGTGTGTGTGCCTACTTCCTCCCTCCCCCCACCAATCCGAATGCACGGAGCAGCCAGTCGTCCATTCGGCTCGTCCTTCCAGCCCAGGATGTGAACCGGATGTGCGCATGCTAGAGTATACGTACACCCGTGGGTCGAGAGAGAGACACACATAACAAGAATGGCTGATTGAGAGTACGACACACACTTGTGAACCATTTGTGGTACGTTTGTGCGCTCCCGAGTGTATGTGCGTGTGTAGGTAAATTTGTCGATATACTTCCGTTTTTACGTCCGGTACCCGCAGCACATCAACTGCTACAAGCACGGGTATTCGGACGTGTAATAGAAAATGCACACACACACGCACACACACACACGTCACCTAGGCTGTCCATATATTCACACCAAACACAATAAACAAAATGACACACGGAAACACCACCGTTCAGCAAATGACAAACGCACAACCACACACCCAAACACATATACTTCGTGTGTAAATGGTCAACTGATTTCCGTTCACCTCACAGTCCAAGGGTTTCAACTTCCGCCCCAGTTTACTCCTCTCATCCTGTCTCGTTCGTTCACTCGGTCCATCGTGCATATTCGTAGATTCGTTTTCTCGCGTTCTTTCACAGACGTGTTAACCCGCTCGTTCGCTCACTCACTCATTCACTCATTCATCGGTTCGCTCTCGTCTGGTGTGTGTGAGCGCGCCTTCACACACACATACACACATACACACACACAAACACAATCCGGACTGGTGGATACCGCTCAGAATCGACGTTCTACTGTCGTAGGGCTACTACGACGACCGCCGGGTTGTCGGCTACGGCAGCCCTTGCCGGACCGGAAGAGTGAGCACGAGGGGATGTGGGAAACGCTCACGAGTGGTTCATCGTATTAGGAGTGCGCGCCTGTGTGCGTCCGTGTTTCGGTACGTCCATCCTCCCGTCCGTTTATCAGTGCGTTCGTTCATCTGGCCGTTCGAGCGTGTGTATGCGTGTGCGCTCGTGTGACACCACGCGTGCGCTTATGCAAAGAAAAGTGAGTGAGCGCGCACGGGTGTGTGCGCACGTAAAACTACTACCAGTTCCGTTCCGTTTCATTTCGTCCTGTTAAGTTCATCTCAGTTCCGTTCCGTTCCATTCCATTCCATTCTGTTCTACCTCTCTGCCGCCCTTGCCGAAGGAAGGTGCTTTACAGCTTGTGAAATCTGTGTGCACAAGAGCTCCGTTGAGCTTTGGCGCCGCTCATACACTTACCCACACTACCGGATATCAGTCATGGGCTCTCCCGGGCCCGTCTCAGTGGCACACACGTCAGGCGCGGATTTGACCGCGTCATTTATTCACTATCCAACCGCAGCAGGATTATGCGGAGTCATGCAGAATGGTACTG